TAAAAGGGGAAAAGAAGAAAAAAACATGTTCAATAATATACTTTACTTTTTTTGTAACTCCTGAATAAAAACTGTTTCACATCACAGAAGTGAAAACCTCTTGGCTTTCTTGTTGCTGGTAAGTCTTAACATTTTCTTTTTGTATTTTTTATACAGTTTTATTAATCTGGCTGCAAGAGATTCTCGCCATAAAGGCACTGCATAAAATGACTTCACAGGGTAGTCAATGACTTTCAAAATGACTTCCATATATTTCATAAATTATTAGGTAAAATTATATTTCTTTTTCATAACCATGGAAAACCGCTAGAGGCAAAATGACAAGACGACATCGTACTTGGTAATTTTTAACTAACTGCAGGAACTTAAAGTGCGCAGGGGCAAGACAAGTGTTTATGAAAAAACAGACCAGTTTTGACTCAAACCTCATCATTCATTAGCTGCTACAGATTTTGTAAGCTCCAGCCTGACATCAGCTGATGACTCACTATTCAGTAAGCTTTAAATATCTGTTGTTATCTTTCAGGTTTCTGTAGTAATGCTTTTATTCATATGATATTTTAAGCTACAAATGGCTTTGTGATTAAATAATCAGAGGAAAGCTAGCATTATTGCTTCCTCTATAGATAAAAGATCAACAGAGCCCTCACACTGTTCCCAATCTGTAGCAATGGCATGATGACAGCTTACCCTGATTGTAGAGTTTCTGAACATCTTTGATAGTTTGGATGCTGGCTGACCTTCTGAAGAGGCCCTCTACTCGTAGTCCTGAAAAAACAATTAACGTAGGTCCCATCCATTAAAACTATCAATCAGTCCCTTTTTTTTTTCTCAATGGGTTCATTTGAAAATAAAACAAAGGAAGAACATTTGGGAATGGGCCCACCTAGCAGATTTAGAGACCATCAGATCTCAAACATTGCCATTTTGTTGACTCTATTGTCAGCCTCAGTTTCAATGGAAGGATATACTCATTTGACACACACTTTTTTTTTTTTTGGTAATAAAGCCATTGAGAATAGAGTGCATCATCAAATAATGTTGTAACAGTACCCCCAGTATTTTCTTTAATGTGTCTCATGGAAATATTACTACCTTTCCTTACATGTTTTAGAGTGCCTTGCCAATTATTCTTTTCTTTAAAAGTAGCTTTCAATGGAGCTTAATGACATTGAAGTGGGAGATTTAGATTCACCATGCCCCTTAGGTACCTTGATCTCACTGACTGTACCTGCAAACCAAGCCCCAAGCCACGCTTCTAAATCTGCTATTCTACTTTTAAATGCTTTAAGAATTTAGCAAGCTAAAGAGGGTATTTGCAAAGACTGGTTCCCTAAACTCCCCCTTCTGTCAGTGGCAGAGATGGGATCCTCTAGCCTGGGGATTCATAACAGCTTCAGATCATTGACTAAGTGAAAGCTGACTTCAGCTATAGAAGAAAAACTGTAGTAAAATGCATAGAATCAAGGATCTCATTCAGACCATAACTTTTAAGGTAAGATATTCATCTGAATTATGTAAAACAGGATTGGGATAAAAAGCAATATTTTTTTGAGACTTGTGTTCTTCTTGCTTTTGATTTTGGTAAAATCATCATTTCCCTCTCTTTTTCTCTCTCCAGCTTCTGCTGTTGCTTCCACCTAGCAGGTAATGCAATTGGCTCACATGTATTCTCTATATGAGTTTACTATTGGAAGCAGGGTGGTCTAAAGTCTAATACAACACAGAATTGCTGACCTTTTGAGAAGGGTGGCAGACCATCCTTTACCTGAAGGGAATCTTGTGCGTTTCTACATGTGACTGCGTGCCTTTCATACTTTTTCATACTTATCTTTCAATAGATGAGTATCTTTCATAGATTTCAGTCTGAAATCAATGGCGTGGATTTCCGTTCAAGTACATGTATATCCATTTGCATGATCAAGCATCTTTATGCTCTTTTAGAAAGTTTGAGGTCATACATTAATTACTTATTCATTTTTGCAAATTCACCTAGGTCGCATGTAACAGTACATTTTATAAATGAAAAATTAATGTATTAGTATAAAATTCCTTAATCGATTCATTTCTTATAGAATAAGATTTAGTATAGTTCATATCAATGCAGATCATCAGTACACTAAAAGAACTGATAAAATACACTAGAAACAGATTTTCATAGATAATGTTTCAAATACTTTTGAAAGGAAACCTGACTTCTATTAAAAGTGCTCCACTGACTTGATTTAGACGCTTAGCTGGAATTTAGCTGAACACGGCTCCTCGTTATTTTCTAAACAATTATGCCCTTGCCTGTTAAAGTCAAGGTTGAATATTAAAACTTTAGCTCATGCGCTCAAATCAGGAAGGAGTATGAACTCTCAAATGGCAATATCTAAGAAAGGCGACGTGTGTTTTCTAAAGGAACCAAACAGAGAGTAACTATGATCTGTCTGAACTCGTTTTATTCCCAACCAGACCAATTACAATTCAATAAAGCTACTGCAAATGACATCACTGTAGTAAAACTGTTCCTTTAGATTTATAGAGCAACCTGTGTAAACACATGGTTTTGAAAGTGGCAGCGCCAAATAGCTAGTGCATCCAGGCACTGCCCACAGCAAAAAAGACATGCAATAATTTCCTGAGAATGGTAGAATTTTATGCTGGCTGTCAGTGGACTAGACAGTTTTCTATAGAAACAAGCCTTTCTGAGGCTGGATATCATAAATGCTTCCAATTTCATATGCAGGAATTTAACAGTTTATACAGTAAGATTCACATCAGTTAAAACTATTAACTATGGTGTAATAAATATTTACTTTTAACATGTTGATTCCCTTATTGGCTATGCTTTAGAGAGTCTAATTAAAGACATTAATCTGTAATGCAGACGGTAGCTGTACTCGCCTAGCCCTGCATCTCGTCAATGTTACTATAATAGCACATAACACTAAACTCTTGCTGGATATTTTTTTGGAGGTCTTAATGGGGAAAAAGCAACTTTTATCTTTATCTGCAGAAATCTGGAATACTGATGTTATCCATATATCTTCCAGAATTCATTTTTCAGGAGAGCTGAAACTGAATCAATATACGGTAATTTGTTTGATCACATGTGGCAACAAACCAACTACCAACATAAGCATCTCCAATCCTTTTTACATTTGTGGACACCCACATGTACAACAAACCTATCCAAATGAAGTGATACTAAGGATATGTAAGTTAGTGCAATAATTCTTAGGAAAAAAGAAAAAGTCTTTCTCAGTCATAGTCTCTCTCTAAAGTAAAAGAGCTGCAACAGCAGAATGGTCAGGTCTTTTTTTCTTTGCCTAAGAGATGCATAGACCAGAAAATAATATGTAATAGCAATTCTTAAGTAAAGCATGGGTCCGAACTTCAGCCTATTAGTAGAGAGGAATGCATGAGTCAACAGGAACTACGCTACTGAAGGTGAAAAAGGACGAGCCTAGATAATTTTTCCAAATCTGTCTTCTCCTCTTAGGTCCCCAGAAGCAAAAAAAGCAGTTCTTGGAACCATCATAACTAAGCACTGCTTAGCACTGAGCACCCATACTAAAATAAAATTAATCACTTGGTTTTCTTTTGCAGACAGAATGCATACCAGAGCCAGCAGAGTTATGGGATGAGGAAACAAAATTGGATCAAGACAGTCTTGGTCATTGCAGCTCAAAACATTCATTTCTGTCCTTCTGAAAATTTATTTTGAGGTAGCCTATTCAATTTTTGTTGGTGGTGTTCTCCTATCAAATGTTGTTTATAGCAAGATTTATGTCCATTATCTTTTTAAAGAGAATTTTTTTTTTGTATACAAGCTGAACTATTTTGCCATTAACGGCATGGATAGCACTGTCCAGCCATAGAGAATACAGATCTTGGACTAAGAACACTTGCCAGAACACTGCTACGCAATGACTGACATTAGCAGCTAGCCTCTGCTTTCCAGGTCTGACAAGTACGCAGCTCCATGTCACTCACAAATAGTCTATTAGTGTTGCAGATCCTCTGCTGAGATAACTGAGCACAAACCACACACACACGTACGTACGTACGTACGTACGTACGTGTGTGTGTGTGTGTGTATGTACATATCTCAGAGAAATTTTGCTAGCCTACACTGGGCTCTCTGGACCAAAGACAGTTAAATTTTATTTTAAAATACTAAGTGCTACATAAAACAGTATAGTGATTTGAATAGTAAAAAAGTCATCTGTATTCAATGAAAAGTGATTCTGAATTGAGAACTTAACTGAGCAATTATTTAAATATGTCGGTATTCATAAATGAAAACAGGCAGGTACTTCATTCCACATTGAAATGAGATGGCTTTTACCACGGTAGACAAAATTTTACAGTGCAATGACACAACTGTGTCACATTCAGAATTAATAAATTGTTGCTAAAAATACTTATTTCTCTTCCACCCCTCTGATCTCTTGTCCCAGAGGAAAAACACAGAAAATCAAAACCAATAAAGATATATTAAAAACAACACATGCTGTCGCATTGCTGAAAACTTGTCAAAGAAAGAGAGATGAGAAAATTACATTCTTTTACTTTCAATCATCCTCGACTTGAAACTTGCTGGCATCACAAACCTTTGTTAATTTGTCTGCTTTAATAAGAGAAAGCAAAGAGCGAGCAACTGAATTCCTTCCGTCTCAATTTGAGTTTGGAAATGCATCTCTGACTACTAGTTCTACCAAGTCTCAGTAAGTATCTGTGTTGAATCAGTTTGCATTCTCATTAATACAGCTGATTTAGGGATCTTCTTGCAGATTAACTATTTCTGAAATTCCTTTTTAAAAATTAGAATTAATTTATTTTTACCATGAGGAGTGATGAGTTTATAGCATATTTAAAATGTCCATATTCATTGTATCATCTTAATTGTCCAAAGTGACAGCAATTGTGAAATTTTATGTATAAAATAAATTTGAGAGAATACAGTAGAAGACTGAGGAGGATATTACATAGCCTTTCTTTCCTTTGTAGTCTGTGCAATGAACACAGAACAAGTGAGTGTGGTGCCTGCAGTTTGTAAAGATGATTTTCATTGTAAGAAGGTACATGGAAAAACAAGAGCAGAGGGAAGGAAGAGAAGGTACAATTCCAGTCCTACTGAAAAACCAACCAGCACAGCAAGAACTCAGAACAGAGCATTCTCGACAGAACCAAAAGTGTATTTGTGGCCTTCTAGTTTTGAATGGCATAGACTAGCCTCTCAATTTGTGAATGAATATTCTCAGTTTACACTTGGCACCTCTGAACATCATTTATTTACAATGCCTGAGCACCAGAAAAAAAAAACTGTGCTTATTACAAGATTCATTTTTATTTGATGACACATGAACCAGGGCTGAGATTTATCTTGCCTCCGTGAACCCCAGACGAAAACATTCTCATGAAAACAGAATAAGTCAACAACTCAGAAACGCTTATATGGCCAATGTCAGGCTTTCTCTTTGTTGCGTTTTTAAAAGACATTTGATTGATTGCAAGAAGTGGAGGCCAGGAGGCAAATTCACTAAGCTTATTCAGAATGCATCACTATCCATCCCTATCCATTCCGACTATCACCACCAGGATGCATTCATCCACATTAAAAAATAGTACCAAAACTGCTCCCTCAGCAAGATTTGTAGTACTTCATGAAGGGGATAGGGAGAAAAGATTAACCGCTGTTTACCACTGCTTTTGCTACTGAACAGATAAAGGATAGAGTTGTCACTATAACCATACGACAGGATGTTTATTACTTTATCAT